ATGCTACAAGTCAAAGGCTCTTGCATAAATTACACAAAAGGAAGGGGCTATCAATGATGAAATAACCTCAAGAGTTAACACCAAGTGAATAAAATAGATAAGTTTATTGGGAGTACCATGCAATGAGAATAAAATAAAATTTTAATGATAGATTTATCAAGCCAAAGTACAATTTTTCTATATGCATTAAAGTGTTAGCAGTTGAATAATTATCATAGATAGAAGAAATGTGAACTTAAGGTGGATGTGTGATTAAACTATAAAGAAAAGAGCAAGATGAATTAGATAGAAGAATGAGATTAGCACATATGAAAGATAAGGTGCTAGAAAATATATTTAAATGGTTTAATAAAAAAATAAGAGAGGGTGGAATATGCATGGATAAAAGGTATTGATAGAATCATCAAAAAAGATTAGAATAAAGAGAGATACACCTAAAATAACTTAGATAGACGTTGTTCAAAAACTATTGTGCAAAAAATGTTTACCATATCATATACAAAAAAAAAAGAATGGAATCAACCCAAAATAATCCAAAGGATAATAATGATGATGATAAGATATTGCTAAAACAAATACTAATGCTTATTTAAAACCTAGTAGCTATCATAGAGATGACTAGTCGCTCTAATTTTTGCAATAAGATAAACGTAAGTTTAAATAAGCATCTTGTCATCATAAAATACTATCTTATTTTCAAGTATTAAAAATGTAAAATAGGATAAACTACTGCCATACTCAGGAATTCCTTAACCCCATACATCATAAAGAGTAGATTTTACCTTTTCATGGATCATCAACAGCATTAAATCCAACTCTTTTCATCTTATCATTTGCACAAGTCAATATTGCATCTAAACAAGACGATTTGGAACGAGTCATCATGGGTCATCGAAATAAGATGAAATTGTTCTTAAAAAAAAAGGAATAGCCTCATCTTCACTCTAAATCATATTTGATTCTCGATTTTTTAAAAGGAATGTAAATCTCACAATTTCCACCCTACATGATCAAGTTTCAAGTCAAGTCACTAAGGTTTCATTGATTTGGTGATCGAGATATTTGTAATGACTTGAAATTGACCCAACAATAAGAAAGCAACTCATAATGTGCAATATGTAAACATATTCTGAACTAAATCTATCCATCCTATAGTCCTTTCAACCAAGACCATAGCAACCAAATCACCGAATCCCAATCCCAAATTCATGTTTCACCGAACATAAGTATCACAAAGTCAATGAGCTAGAATTGAGTGTATCAACAACGAGATTGAGGACAATGTAGAGAGAAACATCATTTTCATAGGAGGTTTGGACCGCAAATCTTCAAGTATTTTTATTGTGTTATAATAGGGTGAAGTTGACATAAGTTATTGAAGGCAAGATAAGTCCAAAGGGCTAAAAACATCTATGAGTTGTCAATTGCGTCCACAACTAAGGATTTAGCTATAAAAATGATGTAGAAAAGTAAAGCTTTAAGTCTATATGAGACATAAATTGAGATTTGGAGAGTTGCATATGACATTAGAGTAGTTTGGTTGGCAAACCTCTTCTATGAAATTTTGAATCTTAAGAGGATGACAAATGCTTAAGAAGACATATTTGGTACCAATATTTAAGAATCAAATATATGTTAAGATTGTAGTAATTATAGAAGAATCGGTGTTAGCATAAGTAAAAATTTTAAAAAGAAAATGTTGATAGCGAACAATCAATTTACATTTATGTCATGAAAATTCACAATTGATGCAATTTTTTTGTTAGCGCAATTAATGGAAATACAAAAAGAAGTTCATATCATTTTCCTTTATCTTAAAAATATATAAGATTGAATACCATGAAGATTAATTTGATGAGCATTGAAGAAAAAAGGTGTATCAAAGATAGGATAAGTAATCAAGATAGGTATGATGTAGCATTGATGAATGTTAAAAATAATTGTGGAGTGATGAGTTCTCAATCATGATAGCTTAAGTTCAAAGAACAACATTGGGTTTGCATATGTTAGACTGGTCCAGGTGGGGCCGATCCAGCCAGTCTAGCTAGTTCAGGAGGGACCAAGCCCTGTTTATAGGAGACGGACATGTTCCATATAATAACCCGTATTTTAACTTTGTCAATTTTTTCTGGAGTCATTATAACTCCAAATAGTAAATCGTATTCGCCATGGTATTTTGATTGAAGAATTTTACTTACATGAATTTTTTTTCGTAATTTTTTGGCACCGGTGAAAATCATTAAGGAATTTGTACCTATCGGTACATGTGATGATTTCGGGACCTTCAGGGGTCCGTTTTGCAAACTGATTTTACCGATATTTTTTAAATAAATGATTTATTTTATAGTTATTTTTCTGTAATTTTTAAGTCCTAAATAGATTTATATAATTTTTCTATTGATAATTGATTAAATTATCTACAACAACAACAACAACATCAAGCCTTCATCCCACTACGTGGGGTCGGCTACATGAATCCTTTTTCTCCATTGTGTCCTATTAAAAGCCAAATTCTCGTTTAAATCTAATAAAGAAAGGTCATTCCTAATATTTTCTAACCAAGTCTTTTTAGGTCTACCCCTACCTTTCTTAACATAAGTCAAATCTAATACCTCTACTCTCCTAACCGGGTCATCGCAAGGCCGCCGTTTTATGTGACCAAACCATCTAAGGCGACTTTCTCTAATCTTATCTTCTACTGGAGCTACTCCAACCTTTTCACGTATATGCTCATTTCGTATCCTATCTCTAAGGGTAAAGCCACTCATCCACCTGAGCATCCTCATCTCTGCCACACTTAACTTAGTATTATGCTTCTCTTTTAAAGGCCAACATTCGGCACCATAAAGCATTGCAGGCCTCACTACCATCTTATAGAATTTTCCCTTAAGTTTGAGGGGTACATTTCTATCACATAACAAGCCCGATGCATTCCTCCACTTCAACCATCCAACTTGAATTCTACTGATAATATCCCCATCTATTTCACCATCACTCTGAATAATAGATCCAAGATATCTAAAACGTGTACTCTTATTAATGACTTGATCGCCCAAAGTCACAATCCCCTCACTAGGTCTATTACTACTAAAATTACACTCCATATATTCCGTTTTAGATCTACTCAAGCGAAAACCTTTAGACTCTAAGGTTGACCTCCAATATTATATTATTTTTATTCCTAAATATCTAATACCACTAAAATCATTTCCTTAAGAAATCCTTTAGCTTTTTCGGTTTTTTTTCCATTTCTCAAGACAGATAATTGGTTTGAGGTTTTAAGAGAGATTTAGAGGAGAGAGAAAAATAGATTTGAGATTTGGAGGCTGCGGAGCAATTTTTGTCCGTCGACACAGTTGAGAGATTTTCTCGTCTCACTGTAAGGAATCTATATCTTATTTCTGATTTAAAAGATTTTGTATTTTTGATATTTTTTCGCTCAAATTTGTGTTTCCGTTATCGAAAAACATGACTAACTTTGTATTGACAAAACTTTCATAGTGTAACTTTTTATATGTCATAGAGATCATGAGCATTTTGAGTATTTATTTGAGATTTTTCACCGGGTGATTTTGAAAATACAATGATTTTTATTTACCCAGAAATTTATTTTGACATCTAAAAACAGTAGTGTATTACAATAAAAGTCTTAAAACATCATTTTACATCTCTGATAATTTGGTAATTTTCTAAAAATATGAATTTTTGCCTAATTGAATTCTTTGTTGTCTACCGTTATGACATTTTGACATCTTCTTAATTAAGCACAATTTTACATTATTTATTGCAATACATCAGAAATGAATGTGAATATGATATTGAAATTACTGTTACAATATTGTGATACTATAGTGTGTGTAAAAGACAAGTAATGATTGGTTGACCCATTGGTTGGAGACTGATTGACTTGTACAGGATGGTCGGCCGACAGACTTTCCTTTAAATATTATGGTTTGGTGTTATCCTCCCCTGATTTATGTGATACTAATTGAGAGTTATAAGGAGATGATTATTGTGCCGACGGGCAAACAATGACGACTCTGTTTACTGATCCAACAACTTACTGATACTGATACAATGATGAAAAACACCGTGATAGCTAGTACTTATTTGTTTAATGTGGCTACTGAAATACATATTTTGAGGCATTGTTCTTGTTATTGTACATATTTATTGTTATTGCATGGATTTACTGTTATTGTATTACTGCTCATGCTATTGAATTGTTATTGTTACTGATATAGACACTGATACTATTTGATACTACTGATTCATTGTATTAATACTGAGCATGTGATATACTGAGCATAAGCATGTGATTGAGATATTGAGCTCCAAATTGAGATACTGATTTAGGGGCTGTTTGGTTACATGAATTAGGAGTGTAAAGTAAAACAATTACATGTATTTATCAAACTTGGTTGTTTGGTTAATTTTGAGTTGAACAAAAGGAAATCATCGGATGCATTAGGCGTGTATTAGGTGGGCTGTTTTGCGGGAATTAGAAATCCGCTCGTATTGAGCGAGTTATAAAAACATCGGAAGAAAACCTTCATCGTGGTCGTGCTGTTCGGCTTCGTTCCACGAGAGGCTCCTTCGGCTCCTTCGTTCTTGTTCGACTTCGCTCCGGCAAGCAGCTCCTGAGAGACCGATTGGGAGGCAGAGTATCCTGCGGAAGCGGAGACGAATATCCCAACCTCCACCGCAGCGAAGAAGCCAACAGCGATGGCGTCAAGGTAGTAAGGTACGACAACGCCGCTAATGCTAAGGGAGACGACATTGACGCCGTCAGCGACGGCCACGTCAAAGGCGGCGAGGATGTCAGAATCAAAGCAACCAGCGGGCCAACATACCTTATAAACGGCGAGACGTGCTTTAGCCGCTGGAGAAGTACCTTGCGCCGATGAGCTTGCGATTACAGGCTGTGGTGCGGAAGCCGGTCCCGGCAATGCAGGTTCCGCGCCATTATGGCCAGATTCTGGTGTTGATTACCGGAGAAGCTGACGAGGGTGACGATGCTGCTGCCATTAACGGGTCAACAGTACTCCAAGAAAGTCACGGAGAACTGCGTTGCTGCATGGAAAGCCGCCGACGTTTACACTGGAGAAGAAGAAGCAGCCATTATTAAGTTACTGGAAATTTTAGAGCTGGGGGGAGTTCCAGCGGCTGAGAGCGGTGTGATAGAGAACAAGAAGCTGACGAATGCGGTATTGGAATCCATTATAGGGGAGAAAGGGGTTTCCCCTGCTGCGAAGCAGAGCTTGGCTAAAAGAATCTCTGAGTTTCTTAATAAGAAAGAAGAAGAAGAAGAAGAAAAAGAAGAGATTTTGGTTTTGGAGAAGGGCAAGTTGGAGCAAGTTGAGGTTGCTTGATTGTTCTCTGTAATTTTACTTTGTCTGTCGTATTTCCTTCTGTGTTGAATAACAGTTGTTTTTCCTGAATCCTTCAGATTTGTTTGGATTGCAGGAAGGTTTTAACTTTTAAGCAAATGGTGTTCATAAGCCAGTAGATCTGCAGATGCAATGGTGCTCACTAAAGATAGTTCTCTTCCCTGTAAAAAATAATTAAAAAAAGTTAATTTTATTTTACTCTGGATACCAACCAAACAAGAGAAACAAATCTCATGCGTTTCATTTGCAGACAACCAAACAGAGCAAAATATTTGAAATGCATTACATTTACTTTACATTGCATTTAATTTACACTGCACTTTTTTTGCAGGCAACCAAACAGCCCCTTAATGTTAATATAGAATAATTGTATAACATGTGTATATTATGATATGCTTTTACTACATTGATTTGATTTCAACAGTCATTAACGATGTTATGAATTGATGCTTTATATGATTTTATACTGACTGATATTATGGATACAACGATTTCTTTAGAGATCTGACACTCGTACTGGTTTACTGCTTTACAGGCTTTTATACCGTAGTGTTTTACTATTTATAGACTATACTACTACTGCATATGAATTTTATTATTTCTGCATTGATTTAATGATCATATGAATTTAACTGCTATGATTTGACTGTTGACATGCATATTGCTCCTTTATCGTGCTTTGAATTCAGTTATAGATTTTGGTGACCTGTTGGGCATTTTAAGCTCATTATATGTGGTTAAATGATTTTAGGTCATGATAGGAGAGCAGGAGTGTGAGGTTGGTCAGAATTCTTCACGTTCCATTTCTTTTTTGTTATAGTCCTGAGTTGTGTATATGGGAGAAAGGAGTTTCCCCTGCTGCGAAGCAGAGCTTGGCTAAAAGAATCTCAGAGTTTCTTAATAGGAAAGAAGAAGAAGAAGAAGAAAAAGAAGAGATTTTGGTTTTGGAGAAGGGCAAGTTGGAGCAAGTTGAGGTTGCTTGATTGTTCTCTGTAATTTTACTTTGTCTGTCGTATTTCCTTCTGTGTTGAATAACGGTTGTTTTTCCTGAATCCTTCAGATTTGTTTGGATTGCAGGAAGGTTTTAAGTTTTAAGCAAATGGTGTTCATAAGCCAGTAGATCTACAGATGCAATGGTGTTCACTGAAGATAGTTCTCTTTCCTGTAAAAAATAATTAAAAAAAGTTAATTTTATTTTACTCTGGATACCAACCAAACAAGAGAAACAAATCTCATGCGTTTCATTTGCAGACAACCAAACAGAGCAAAATATTTGAAATGCATTACATTTACTTTACATTGCATTTAATTTACACTGCACTTTTTTTGCAGGCAACCAAACAGCCCCTTAATGTTAATATAGAATAATTGTATAACATGTGTATATTATGATATGCTTTTACTACATTGATTTGATTTCAACAGTCATTAACGATGTTATGAATTGATGCTTTATATGATTTTATACTGACTGATATTATGGATACAACGATTTCTTTAGAGATCTGACACTCGTACTGGTTTACTGCTTTACAGGCTTTTATACCGTAGTGTTTTACTATTTATAGACTATACTACTACTGCATATGAATTTTATTATTTCTGCATTGATTTAATGATCATATGAATTTAACTGCTATGATTTGACTGTTGACATGCATATTGCTCCTTTATCGTGCTTTGAATTCAGTTATAGATTTTGGTGACCTGTTGGGCATTTTAAGCTCATTATATGTGGTTAAATGATTTTAGGTCATGATAGGAGAGCAGGAGTGTGAGGTTGGTCAGAATTCTTCACATTCCGTTTCTTTTTTGTTATAGTCCTGAGTTGTGTATATGATTTTTGGGAATGAATACAGATATGTAGATTGATGTTTCAAATTATAGAATCGGTTGTACTGTTTATTTTTGATAGATGACATTAGATAGATCTGGTTGTTGATTATTTAAAGGATAAATGAATAATTCTTTCAATTTAGATTTTGGGGCATCACATTCACCTCAAACTCCTGCCCCCTTGGGGTAGGGTCCAGCAGCCATTTGAAAAAGGAAATTAAGGCTTGGTGAGGAGGTAAAATTCAAAGGAGGGTCTGTTTTGGGATTTACATTATTATTGTTTGTTTTTTTTTCTCTTCTTTTTTTATTTTTTATTTATTTACATCATTATTGTTTGCTTTAAGTAGATTGTTTCTCTAGGGTTAGGGTAATGTGTTATTTGCTAAAATTAGATTGTTTTTAGGGTGTTTGGGCTCTAGCCGACATCTAGGAATTTTGGAGAGCCGGATCTTCCTCTCAATTGAAGATCCACTGTATCTTGTTTATTTTCTTTATTATATCATCAATTAAAAACGTTTTTTTCTCAGGTTATTCCTCTTAATTCTTCTTGTGAATTAATGTTTGGGGCTGCTTAAATTAAATTTCAACCAAGGAATACTTGATTTCTACGAGTACTTCATAACAGCATACTTTTATGTATTGATCATGGAGCTATTTAGATGACAATTTATTAATCAATGTGACCTTATTTGAAATAAATGGAATGATAGAATAAAAAAGAAAACCTTTTGAAGATAGCATAGTCTAAAGCAGTGTGTTTTTGTAGATAACATAATTTTAATTTGTGCGTCTCATTTGGAATAAGTGAAATGCTAAAACAATTAAAAAAAAAAACTTTAAAAGGTAAAAGGCTTGGCATCAATAAAACATGCTTAAATCAAGAAAGGAGCATACCCAATGCCTGAAGCTCCCTAAAAAACAAAATTACTATAAAAAGAGCCCGATGCTGAAACTACTAAATTATGCAAAATGTAGCTAATATAGAGTTTTTACCATAAGGATGAATTTCAAATAAATACAAACATTTCAACTTATAAATATTATCTTGTATTCTAGAAAAACATCAGAACAATCAGCTTTTTAAATGTAATTGCTCATAAACATTCCTACTGACAGTAAAGTAGAAACAAGCAATCACGAACAATGCAAAGACAACTTGACGTGTGGAAGAAACAATACACACATGCTGACTTACAAAGGCATTATAACCATCATCATCACTACCCTTATGCAAATTTATGAAGCTGAGTATTGTTAATTGGTCATTCAGTCAGTTCATTATCACATTGACAAAAAGCATGCCCATACAGAATTACTACCTTGAAGGCTTGAACAATCCAATTCAGAATGCATTATTATTTCAAATGAAATAAAACCTATAATCCACTTACAAGTTTGGTAATAGGCAATTATTCAATGTATGAACAGTTCAAGGCAAGGAGGACAGGAGAAGGCAAAGAAGCTTTGAATAACAATAGAAAGTGTATCTTTAATTTTGGGGAAAAAAAATTAACAAAGAAGCTTTGCATTTCAAAATGTCTACCACCTTAATAAGCCATTTTCATAGAAATTTTCCGAAATCCCCCATGAGAAAAAATCTATATAACAAGGAACTTGAAATGAATTCAAAAAATAAGTTGATCAAAATAAATAACTGCTTCTTATCACAAGAATTCTCAAAATTTTAGAGCCCTCTCATAAATAGTTAAAGAACCCTGCCAATTTTCCCAAAAAAAAGAACCCTGCCACATAACATGCCTCCGCATAGAGAATGGACATTGGACAATAATCTAAACAAGTACAACATAAGAACCGGTATCCCGTCACTTTTCTTAATCAGAGATGGCTGCAACAAGAATGCACATAAACTCCAAAAGATGGTTAGATTGACCAAACAACAGCAAAAAAAAGGGCCAGGAATCAGCATAATATAACAGAATATTAATTTTCCGTAACCTTAAAAAAATCAATTATTACATCAAAGACTTCTACTTAGTTACGATTTCAGAAGAACCTCCACACAAAAAAAAGGGATTGGTTCTTACTTGCGCAGAGCAGGAGCCATCTTGTTGGTAAGAGTACCGGCCACAATCATGCAATCAGACTGGCGAGGGCTAGGCCTAAAGATGACGCCGAAACGATCCAGATCGTAGCGCGCGGCGCCCGTGTGCATCATCTCGACCGCACAGCAAGCAAGCCCAAAAGTCATCGGCCAGATTGAGCCACGGCGTGCCCAATTAAGCAGATCGTCAACCTTCGAGATGACGAACTCCGCCGCCTTCGAGATCCCCGTCGGCGATGAGGTCGATGGCGGGCCTGGCCGGGAATACGGCGCCGGTGAGGATGAAGGGGCAGAGGAGGATGAGAAGGGAAGCGCCGCCGTTAGCCCTGCAGTGCTCTGGGCTGAGAGCGCGGCAAAACGGGCGGCTCGGGGGATGAGAGCCATGGTGGAAGCTAGGGTTTGGGCGATGGGAAGGTAAAGTGAATGTTGAGAAGGATTGGAGCGTGGCTTATGGAACTTGTCCACGAGCTTCCTACGGTGGAGAAAATACTTGGGCCGACCTGAAATAATATAGCTCTGCCACGAACGGTTCGGTGAACCGGTTTGAGCGAGCTGAACCAGTTTGAGAGAGTTGAACCGGCGACTTGAAGCCAAACAAGTACAAGTAATTATCAAAAAAATTATGATAGGAATTATATTGAAATGGGCTTTGAAATTAGACGAGCTTTAAGATTAGTGAAGTTGCGTGTTGAAATATTTGCAGTGGTAAATAAATATAAAGTTTAACGTCTTAATTTTATACGAATATCCAGCATACAAATATATTGATAAACAGTAGGGCTGTAGCATTCATAAGAGACACCAGAGTTTTTATGTGAAAAATCTTGAAAAGATGAAAAAATCATGGAGCATTGTCCACTTTAAATGAATCCATTAGCTTTTGTATTTGATTACAAATGAGGCTCTTCCTT